GTAAAGGGATGCAAGCTGTGGTGTGTTTGGGTGTGTTGAGTGTAAAGGGATGCAAGCTGTGGTGTGTTTGGGTGTGTTGAGTGTAAAGGGATACAAGCTGTGGTGTGGTTGGGTGTGTTGAGTGTAAAGGGATACAAGCTGTGGTGTGGTTGGGTGTGTTGAGTGTAAAGGGATACAAGCTGTGGTGTGGTTGGGTGTGTTGAGGGTAAAGAGATGCAAGCTGTGGTGTGGTGTGTTGAGGGTAAAGGGATGCAAGAGCTGGTGTGTTTGGGTGTGTTGAGGGTAAAGGGATGCAAGCTGTGGTGTGTTTGGGTGTGTTGAGTGTAAAGAGATGCAAGCTGTGGTGTGTTTGGGTGTGTTGAGTGTAAAGAGATGCAAGCTGTGGTGTGTTTGGGTGTGTTGAGTGTAAAGAGATGCAAGCTGTGGTGTGTTTGGGTGTGTTGAGTGTAAAGAGATGCAAGCTGTGGTGTGTTTGGGTGTGTTGAGTGTAAAGGGATGCAAGCAGTGGTGCAGTGGGGTGTGTTGAGTGTAAAGGGATGCAAGCTGTGGTGCGGTGGGGTGTGTTGAGTTGAGTGTAAAGGGATGCAAGCTGTGGTGCGGTGGGGTGTGTTGAGTGTAAAGGGGTGCAGGCTCGTGTGCAGTGGGATGTGTTGAGTGTAAAGTGATGCAAGCAGTGGTGCAGTGGGGTGTGATGAGTGTAAAGGGATGCAAGCTGTGGTGCGGTGGGGTGTGTTGTGTGTAAAGGGATGCAAGCAGTGGTGCGGTGGGGTGTGTTGAGTGTAAAGGGATGCAAGCAGTGGTGCGGTGGGGTGTGATGAGTGTAAAGGGATGCAAGCTGTGGTGCGGTGGGGTGTGTTGAGTGTAAAGGGGTGCAGGTGGTGTGCAGTGGGATGTGCTAAGTGTAAAGGGGTCCACGTTGTGGTGCAGTGGGGATGTGCTAAGTGTAAAGGGGTCCATGTTGTGGTGCAGTGGGGATGTGTTAAGTGTAAGGGGGTGCAAGCTGTGGTGCTGTGGGGTGTGTTGAATAAAAAGGATTGCAAGCTGTGGGGATATGGGGTGTGCTAAGTGTAAAGGGGTGCAAGTTGCAGTGCTGTGGAATGTGTTGAGTTAAGTAAAGGGGTGCAAGCTGTGTTGTGATGGCGTTTACTGAGTGCAATGTGACCTGTGCCCAATAGAACACACTCTCACTTTTTTATATATTGGTTGCAGTTTATCATTTCTTTGTTTGGAGGTATGACACCATATTATTCTAGAGACTTGCCTCTTTATTCATTTACTCACCTGTTCCTGAAGAACTCTCTCCTTTTTTATGTGATACTGTGCATCATTTATTGTAACCGCATTAAATAAAGTATATAGAAACCTATAACAAGGTAAGTGTATCCAGCTCATGACTCATAGTCAGAGTATTCCTGTGTGACATCTGTCCTCATTTCCAGCCAATGTAAAGGGAACAGAGCGCTGATTGTGCTTCTAGCGAGCCTGGCAGGTTCTTAGAGGAAGGTTCTTACAGGAATTGCACATGTCAGCATACATGACTGCTTGGAGACATCACAAAAACACAAACTGAAGGAAGCAAGTAATAAAGTATTTAGAGCCTGCCTTGGATATTCTTCAGAAAATGCTTATTACTTGGGTGTCTCCGACTGCAATTATTTAAGACACTGACATGGAACAAGCATGTAGATCATGAAACGCAGAGTAAAGTCAACTCTTGATCTGCATT